AAGCGGGAGGGTCGTCACCTGCGCACGCGCGGAATCGAGTCCCAAGCGACGATAACACACGCTAAAAACGCAAAGGCTCAAGGGTAGACGCTTGTTTGTAAACAATGACACGATATGGCCATTTGGCGCTGCGCAGGTGACGACATCCCCGCTTTAATTCTGGTCTGAGTGGAATGAGTGGGAGAAGAGGGTCATTACAGTACTTGCCTTTCCTTTTTCATACGGCATCCTCGAAATATAATAGAAAGTAACTTAGCTGTAAGTAACAAGCTTTAAGCTTGACAAATATCTTTTAGAATAACATTTCAACATTGTTTAATATTTATATTCATAGTCACGTCCACCTTACTGTGGATTACGTTTGTCGCATTTGTACAAACCTTGAAGTGAGTGGCAAATAATATTTCCGTTAAATGTTAAATTAGGTAGATATAGTAATTTCACGCTGACCGCAATGAGTGTTATTATAGTATGCTGTACTCTTCGTTTGACATCTTTGCTGCATAGCTGAGGTTAATCAAAGATGCCCAAACACTCAACTTTTCATCGTCATCTTTGCCGTCTTCGGTGGTTGCATTCGTCACAACATTAAATTTGCTATGAAAAGGAATAGGAAGAAAAATGGAATAATTACACAAAACATACTAAAGAGAAGTGATAAATATCACGTATATTTATTATATGTATACAAAATGTGTCACTTCATCAATGACAATCTATAACCTGACAAATCGGACATACTTATTTATTAAATAAACATAACATATCACCATGATACGCGCAGACACTAACATACTCGAGGGTATCAGAACAACAGCATTAGTAGGAATATCAAATCGGCATACGTTTAAATAGCACAATCGACAATGTACCGAAATTAAACAAATTATTGGTGGGAACAGCACCACTACCATGTCGAAGTGAACACGAGGGGACGTCAAAAAGACAGGTGGCACCTATAAATCAATGAGGACCACGCATGACTATAACTAAACCATTACACAATCAGTCAAAGATATATATAGCAAGGTAACAAGAGGCTCAAGGCTCACGAGTTGTTGATTCTTAATTATACTATTCCACAAATGACACTAGCGATAACCCTTGAGTCATGATATAAGTTGTTCATTAAGGATGGTTATATACCTAGATGAATTTTCTACATCGGCAATAGTGTTTGGGAGTGGTTTTCCCATTGTCTCTGGAAGCAAAAGAAGCATCATGCCAGCCAAAATAGATACACATCCATATACGACAAAAGAAAGAGGCTTCCAAGTTGACGATAGAAGTTGAACAAACGGTGCAAAAATGGAACCCAGTCTTCCGAAGCAGGTTGCAGCACCGAGACCAGAAGCTCTGAAATTATATAGAAAAATACGCCTCACTCAATCATATCACTGTAACGACAATTAATGCGAGTATTATCAATGTTAACATGCTACAGACCTGAGTACAGTGGGGATCAACTCAGAGGTGTAAATATATGTAGTCCAGAAGGCAGCCGCAGCACCTAATTTACCAATCATAGCAACAGCAATTGATAGATGATTCAGATCTGTGAAGGAAAACGATTAGCATTAGAGATATGTTTTCTGCGGGTACTTATTGACAATATGCATTATAGGATTAGGTTTCCCATTATTTTATAATACCACCGTATGACAAGTTTCATGCATTTTATGGCAATCTTTTCAACCTTCTGACCATTATATGACCGTTGTGTACCCTCCATGTTAGTTTCTATTCATTCCATTATATGAGCATTTTCAAACTCATTGTGACAATTTATGCAAAACAAAAAAACTCTCTAGCCTGGATCTTGTGTATGTTTGTGATCATAGTTTGTGTTTGACCGAATAATAATAAAACTCACATATTCACTGTTAATTTATTCCCTAGTGTCAACAAAATGTTTGAATCAAATGCAAAAGTATGCACTTCTGGGAAGTGTCAGGACAATCATCGTGATATCCTTGACAATTATGAAACTATTATTGACAATTTACTGTAGCAAGAGCAATGAGCCTTAAACTAAACTGTTGTACAAATATCAGATTTTGTAATTTTCAGATTTAATCTGGGGATGAATACTCTTTCGACACTTAAATGATCAGCATCTTCATTGTTTCCACATTCCTAGTGGTCTATATTGGCTTGGTAGGTGCGCCAGTAATCCCATGACTTTCTATTTACTTACTTTTACGAACCAGTAACAGAACGAGTACGCAAATCAATCACAAACTCTTAATTGTTCATCTGCTGTCCAATTGTTCTCACATAAAAGCACATGAATAAAATTAACGTATAATTGCGACGATTGGATAAAAAAGGTTATGCGTGAAAACGATCACACAATGATCATGTTTGCAGAAAACGCGTAAATATTTGAGAATAGTCATAACATCTAATAAACAATTGGTCATATAATGTTAAAAACATGTTTTAAAATGGTGTCAGCAATTCGGCCACTTGCCCAACTGTTATCACGGAAGTTGTGAAAAGGTGAATACACATTTGAGAAAGCTTAATTTGTAATAAAGCTGCATGGATTACGCATTGTCATCGATTCAAATATATCTGCTCTGAAAATGTAGTTCGTTTACGTCACAATATCACCTACACTGTATCACTATACTTTTTTTGGGGGGGGTGAACTCGGATCAATATACATTTGTTGTGCCTTGAAATCTGATTTTAGAAACGGTATGCTAATTAGACCCACCTTCTGGAAAGAACTGACAGCCAATACACCCAGCTCCGGCAACAATGAAGAAAGAACAAAGCGGAATAGGGCGCCCAAATCGGTCGATCAAGAAAATAGCAAGAAGCGATGCAGGCACTTCGACAATTCCGGCCATAAAGAAAAGCAAGTATTCGTCTCCTGGCAAAGTGGCGATGTTGAGAGAAAGTCCATAGTAAACAAAGGCGACAGCAATCCTACAGTGGAAATGTTTCAATATATATATATATATATGTGTATATATAGTCTAGATGTGGGAGTCGATTATTCCAAAACAAAAGTGCTCAATACAAAGTATATGTAGAGGGAATAAATGCGGTAATAGAGGAATTAATACACAACTACATGAATATTGAAACTCGACAGCACTGTTTCGTAAGGTACAAGTACCTCACTCATCAGGAGCTTTATGTTTAATTCACTAGATTAGATTATAATTGCATTATAATTTGGTCATACGTTTCCATAAACAAGAGACCTAACAGCTGAAATAGCTCCACTGCTTTTGTAGTGCCTTCCCAAAAACATAATAATGTTCTGTACGATGATATACTAACTAATTGCCATGGTTATTCGTGTTCGCACAATGTTCTTGCCATATCACAACCATGGTAGTTTTCTGGCTGTTGCCATGGTAATTACAATTATTATCATCTTGTTACCAATGTCATGGAGATCAACACATGGGCCCAAAATACGAGGTGTCTAAGCAATCGAGCTTGTAGTTTTTAAAAAGAATTCGAATTATTCCCTAAATTAGACAATTGAAGATATCGTCACAAAATGAACAAATCTGAAATGAGCTCCACCCAAGGTACCTACATACCAAATATCAAAATAAAATTGTGTTGACGCCGGACGGACAATCGCCTATATAAACAGCTCCGCTATGTCATCTTCGATGACAGAGGACTTAATAGTTGGCTTAGCCGCTACTGTATATACAAGTCTTGTGATTGTTCGTGATTGCAGTAGTTGCAAGTAATTTTGATGTAGTGTCATCAATATAATATTAAAAGTATATGGCCACGACACCTAGTGTCCTCTTGATATGTGCACTGTGTGTCATTGAACGTCAAGGTTATTTTTCTTTATTATGAGTTTTTATTATTTGGGAAACATTGATACACCCGGAAGTACGTATTTTATTACGAATTTATTACGTATATTATTACGAGTCTCGTCATACCACGTCATGTCATGCAGAGTCTCATATAAGTATCGGTTTCACATTCGTATTACAGATTACAAACAAAAATGTGTACAAGACACACAACATATTACGTGCATTGTAGTCAAAATCAACATTACAACAAGGAAGGAGCTTTTATTAGGATTTCGTGAGGTACCCCGTGCGGGTGTTCGCCATTGGCTGAACCACATGTTCTTATTCGTCTATTATCGTAAAACTAAATTTGATGACAATTATAACGTTGTTATTTTCACTTATTATAACTGTACTTACCAGTGACAAAATATATTTAGACACCGCTTTCTGAGAACTGGTGTTCGAAGAAGATCAAAAAAGTTCAACTGCTTCTTACAGTTATTCGTAGACTTTGAGTCAATTCTTTTGTTACGTTCTTCCTGGTAGTAATGACGCAGTTTTGGTAGCTGCAATTTGTACAATGCATTGTTACAGTAATTAAAAGACATTTTGTTGTGACGGTAATGATGTTCCCCAACATTCTAATAAGTCCTACAGTATTCCCACGAGTTAAACTGAGATGGCATGATAGTATTTTTGCTAGAAAACGCTAGGAAAATGTCGATGGTCATAACTGTCCGTAACCTATACATTTTTTAGAAAGCATTTGACATGATTTTTTTTTTCCGGAAAATAAGGTTTCCTATCGTCTGATTGTGTTTCAGTATCACAGTTTCATTTTGTTTGTCAATTTTGATCAACTTCAGTTTGCGAAAATTAATATAGCAACTCGATTAGAAGATTACAAAGTCGCCGTTTCTGGGTTTTGAGTTTGTTGCTATAGCAAAAATAACCGTGGATATGCTATTTTGTCGTATCTGTTTATTTTAAGCGTCATGTGACCTTTTTTGTGAAAATGTCATCCCAATTGATTTCGAAGAATGTATATGTTATTTGCCCAGTTATAGCTATCATCATTTTCTAACAAAAACACTGCTTCCTTGAAATACTTGCACCACCGTCAGTTTTGGCCCTACCTATGGTCATTAACTGTAAATATAAGATATTACACATAACCAAACTAATTGCCCAATAACATAATTTTGCTATGCGTGATTAGTGAAAACAGGCGACAAAGCGCGTGATTGCTAGGTGTATAAGCAACTCATTTTCACGATATATCAACATACCATCAACCGTTGTTTATATATAATTAGTTATAGGAAATTACACCATAACGGTAGTAAAAATATACTGTAAAATAATTTATTTTCGCTGATGAGACGAGTCAGTGGAAATAACATCCAACGAGTATACCCTTTTCCCCTATATTTTACATACAACTCACCGAAAATTCCAAACAAAACAACTATAAATCTTTTCAGTGAAAAATAATTCCAGCTAAAATAAAGTATTTTACAGTAGGTAATATTTCCTGTGCAAACAAGACACCAATCATGTCAAACGTGAATGAATGTGTAATTTATTCCGAGTTGGCTCCTATTAGATAATACGCCATCGTTCACCCGTTTTCAATGACTGGTGGATGGTTTGCACACGGGATAGTAATCGTAGTTGTACCAGTAGACTTATGTCAGCCTTGTTGACTCTCGCAGCTTTTAGAATAATCACTTCAGCCTCCTTGATATCGCCCCGAGACATAAGCCATCGCGGAGATTCTGGTATGCACCTTAAGCGGTAGTAATGAACACGATCAAAATGTGGGTAAAATGATGGAGCAGTAATATCTATTGATATAAAAACTACTAAACATGCACAGTATATGAGGCAATAATACAAAACTGAATAGCAACATCTTGGTTATTTGAAAACCTCGCCTAACTTTCATTCTACATTCATTCAAATTCATCTACATTGAAAGAGTATGGTGAAGACAGTAGTAGTATAAATGTTCCGTTATTATTATACACAGTGTTGAATTTATCGGAATTTTTTTGTTTTGTACAATTGAATTGTCATGTCCTAAGCTCAGCAGTAAACATTACGGATTGTTTCACCACAGAAAAAATGTATATTCTACAACTCACGCCGAGAAATGCTATGATCTCTGATGTCACTCATTTTCAAATTGGTGCATGTTTTTTCTCTCTCTCAAAACCAATACTGACATTGTTTTATTGTGATAATTATAGATTTGTTATCATTTTGAAACGTGTTTGTATGTAATGATTCATCCTTTATCTATCAGACGTGGTTTGTCCGTGCAATCAGAAGTGACAAAATAGTTCTAAAGTCTACTTTTTCTTCTGCTAATTAGAAAAATATTAGGATGGCATTAAAAGGTACAAAAAATGCAACAATACAGTGTAATTTGCGGCTTGTGTATATTGATTAAATAGGAATAAACACCATATGTCTGGTTTGGATGAAAAAGAGATACGATCTCCGGTGTGTTTGTGTTTGGTATTAATGTAGCAGGCGAACAAGCTTGTACTCAAACAAGCCAAAGCTGTGACAATTTTTAGTTTTTGTCTTGTAATTCGTGGTAGATTTACCACCATGCTCTTTTAAATATCCATGAATATGTATATCCTTTTTCTTATAGATATGTTAAATTTTGTGTTGGTTCAGAAAGTAAGTTGTTATGAGGGTTGGAGTGGCTGGACAACATTAAATGCCAAGCTTCAAATGGTTACATCGCATATTGAAACATTGTGTTATCAGTACACACTATCTTTCAATTGAAAATGGCGTGAAACGAAGATTAAGAGTGAAGTATAAATCATGTTTACATAGCCTTGCTGGTGTTTGTATGTGTCGTTTGAGCTCAGCAAGATTTAAAAAGTGCATATTAGGCACTTGATTTTCTAAAGCTCATAACAGGCATATCCTGTAATACAGTGCAATGGAATCGTTGCCCCTATAATGCGAAAAAGCATAACTTACCAGATGTATGCTAGCATGAATATCTGCGGAAGACTTAACACCAGACATAACTGCCTCCAATCACGTATTAGATAAGCCAGGCCAGCAAGCGAAGCGTATCCAAAGGAATAAAAAACGACCACACTGTTGCACGCAAATGCTCTACGTGATGGCCCGATCCATTCTAGGACTAGAAGGAGAAATAAAATAGGAATAGTTTGTCACATTGATATCTAGTACAATTATTGTGAATTTTAGATGAGCATTCTGCATATAGAATTCAAATATTCACAGCAAGCATTCAGCTTTCACGGTGCATCGGAAACGCGTTTAGCTTAGTTTTCTTTGAGATACAACTCGTTATATCATAAACAAGGCTATGAGTACGGTATTATAACACGCTTCCGTAAATATTTTGTACGTGAAAGAATAAATGCAATATAAGTAGTCAATTAACAAGACCTCTGAAGAAAATGAAGGAATCTAGCAAATCGTATACATTGGATTCTCGTTATCGGTTTTATTCATAATTAATATTAATTAATAGATATATGCAGCCACGACTAACGCAGTTTCAGTTGAATTCGTGCAACGATGCTGCCAGATAGACAGACAATACAGTCAAAATTAGCCTTACCGTAACTGAAAGCGATAACGTACGAACCAACAAATGTACCACCGTAGAGGAACTGGCAGATGAGAAATATCGGAAAGTAAGGTGCGAATGCCGAGCACACACTAAAGAGTATATTGCATGACAGAGCGATGAATATGTATAATCTTCTGCCATGTCTACAGGAGTGAATTGAGAATATTATATGTTATCAGTGTTATTAAATCCCCATATTTGTAGTGGCAGTTCGTTCTGTAATAAAAATATCGCATTACTGCAAATTCACATGAGTGGTAATAAGGTGGTATTAAACAGTAGATCACACACAAATCATGGAATACAATGTCTCCGGGCGGTGGCCAAGCCCACGGAGTAACGTAAGGCGGCCACCGTCAAGTGTCAATATATAATTGCCATGTCATTCGTAGACATTGTTTTCATGAGCACGAAAATATTTCAATATACGCACATTGGGTTCACGTGAAATAAATGTTCCTGTCTGGGTGCCAATGTTGAGCATCTGCCCGCATAACACAATAGAAAGTGCGATTGTTTAAACTAATTACGCTGTAATTCGTATTGACAAGTTATGATTTGTATTGTTTACAGGCAAAACAGAATGAAACACCAGTTCAATGAATACGATAAGAGTGCAATCACCTGTCAGATAGCGGGGATACCACCACTGTTCCTGCCAGTATACCCATCTGCACTGTAGCCTGAGCAAACTCTCGCAACCAGCCTCTATCACAAACTAGGTCCCACTGTAATTAAAGACAACGAAAATTAAAGAAACAATGCAGTAACTTTGGGAACTTTGGATCATGATTAGATATCACTTGAAAATTTAAGTAAATGTTGGACACGCGTGTGTTACATTATTTCATTGAATGAATACTGTTACTATACCACCTCACTAGCAACACGAATAGTCCCAAAACATATATATTCCAAAACCCATTGCATAACACAAGCACTACCACAGTCACCATTACCTCCACTGAACAGTAAACCCATAATGCATCAGCAGTGGTGAATTCTTACTAGCAACCACCTATACTTCTTTCTATGTAAAACAATGTTTAATGTCAGCCAGTGCGTCAGCCACTAACTACGGCAGGTGGAACACCCCGACCCTGCATTTTCCAACATTAGTCAGAACATGGTAAAGCACACAAGTTGATATTGAGTATTCCAATGGGCGAGCAAATACCAGACAAGGCATTTGAAGAACGGATGAATGAGTATGTTGACTTTTGAATGAAGATAGATCCAATGTCTAGATTAGGTGAGGTGAATCTGTAAGTATGTTATAGTTTTAGAGGACATTCTATGCATCACTGAGGTCAACATCCACAAGAAAACACCCAAAGACCAATCTATCGACCACAGCAGAAAGATATTTTTTTCATATGCACATTTGGGACACTATGATTGCCTCAATGCCAAACAAAACCAGATGATACAAAAAACAATCTACATTAAAGAGCTCATGAATGTAGGGTATACCAGGGTCAACATGAAGGGCAGATCCAATGGCAGATCATATGTGAAGATAAATGCATTACATGTTTCAATTGCTTTGTCTCAAAGGGCAGCTACTGAGAAGTTTAAGGACCATCTGTATGGAAACAGGTTTACTGACAATAACTCACTCAGGGATGTGATCTAAACTTGATGCAACAGGGCAATGGTTGTTGCCAGTATTGCCTGCCTTTAATTTTGAGCTGAATAACAGAGCCAGTAATATCAATGGTAATGCAGATGCTCTTTCAAGAATGTCTCATAGAAAGGCTGAAGAAACGCGCAGAGTGGTTAGTGGTGTCATGAAGCAGATACCAGAATGAGCATGATCAATGGATATTCATCAAAGTTTTCAAATCACAAAACTGGTGAGGTAAGTGCATAGAAAGAATGTTGTGCATTGTCATCCCTAACTGTCTGAGAAATGCAAGTGTTTCACAGGAATACACCAATATCAATCAAGTACTGAATTATTTGAATAGAGGCAGAAGACTCAGCAGAAGAGTGCATGTAATAGAAGAATACAAAGATACAATTCTGCTATATAAGCAATGGATTGATTACAGGTATCTACTAAATAGGTGTATTCATGATGGCAAAATAAATACTATCTGGCAACTAGTCTTCAAAATGAGAGAGAGAGAGACTGGCACTGATATATAACCTACCAAGAAAAGGCAGAAAGACAGAAAGTGAAGATAGTAGTTCAAGTGAAAACAACTGTGACTATGATACCTTAGATGAATCATTACAGCCAAAACAAAGTCAGCTTGGACAATCAGTTGTGACAAAACAAACGCAGACAGTGATATATTTGGTGAATAAAAATACAAAATAAACGCAATCAGAGGCGCCGACCACGCGCGATGGAATAAATAGAACGCGCCGTGACGCGGTCTCACCAGCCTCTTTCACTCACGCAATAAAATTATGCTATTTCCCAACGCACTTGTATAATACATTGAGACGAAGAAAAAAAAATGTAAATCAGGCTTGTAATCACTAGTAACTCAACTTCAAAGCAACATTGATTACTGCAAAAGTGGACAAATTCAAGCTAGCCATAACATTCAAAATTCAAAAGATCTTGTTGAATGTCAAACAAAAATAAACCCAATGTTTAGAAAGACAAAAACAACAATATAAAAATATACAAACAAGAGTGCAAAAAAAGTTAGGAGCAAAAGACGAGAAATGCGTGTGGAAAAGCGATGAGATAACTCGAAGAAAATTGTGCTAATGTGAGAACACGCTATATACCCGGCTGAGTACTCGCTAGAACATCGAGAAAATTTGTCATTTCAAATGGCACCCTTACAAATAATTGTCTGCGATTGTGTGAACATGATAACGTGCAAACAAAGAACTTAGCTCGTGGTCCACCAAAGAATAGTAATACTAATTAATAAGCAATTATCCAGTACTGGAAATTAGTGCGGATACCAATCACGTTTTTTATCAAAAAGTTGGATACCTGAACGTGTAGTAGACGA